CCGGACGCACACCGCATCTTCGGGCCCGCGTAGTTCACAACGCACCCTTATCGCTGCGCCTGCAATGCCTGCAAATTAAACATTTATATATTACTTATACTTATATTACGTATATTACTTACATTTATATATTACGTATATTACTTTTATTGCTAGAGCGCTTATCCATATTTTAAATGAGGATTACTTTCAAATAACACATTTTACTCTGTAAACCATTGCAATTTTAATACCATATTGTAAACACTAAAGTAAATGAAAATAAAATGGGAAACATGTTTATATTATTTACGACATAAAAAATAATAATATTTAAATATTTATTTTAATATATACAATATTACAAACTATAATTATAATAAAAAAACTAAAACTAGAAAATTAAATTATCGTATAGTCCTACTCCTTAAATACTATTACCTAAAATAAAATTATCAAAGCAGATTCACCTCAAATGTGTTTATATCAAGATATTACATATAAGTTAAACTTTAAAACTAGAAAAAAAAACAACTATTATAATTTGATTGCAACTTGCTGTTAAGTTCCTTTTTGTGACGCAAATATACTATATTTTTTTATAATGCAATGTAAAACTTACGAGGCAGAGCGCAGCAAACCCAGGTAACACTCTTGGGATCAATCTCGGAATCCTGCATGTAGACCATTTCATTAGAGCCGTTGCTGAATAAGAACGACGCTAGCAGATTCTTGTTCTGAAATCGTGCAATATTAATATAAGTATAGTACCTACCTATTATAGATGGTAAATTTTTCACAATATAACGACCAAATAAAACAATATCGTGTAAAGATGGAAGATAAACCTACGACAAAAAATTAAGGCGAAGGAATTACTAAAAATTGTAAGCCTCATTACCAATAACTGGCAGTTCGATAGTCGATCCGAGATCATAAATGCTTTTAAGTAAAGTCCATATTACGGAGCTCATTTTTCTTCCCGACTAATTTTGATAGATGTAGTTTAAATAAGGCAGCCGCTAGCTACGAAGATTTGCAGGAAGTCGATAAGATACAGGAGCCTCAGGGTTGAGCAGTGGACTTTTGGAGGGCAGTAATGATCATGATGAGGATGAATATGTAGTTATGTTATCTTGTAATGTTATTTAATATATCTCTTTACCTTTCGGCGTTAGTTGGATGCCGTTAGAAAGGATAATCTCCGAAATGATTGTATTAGTAGCCGTCGCTTAGGGCACCTGCCATGCCTTGACGTAAGGATACCGTGATATCGCACGATATCCCGTGACATCCATACCATACAAAGTTGTCCTGTGGGATGTTGAAACGAGAGTAATACATATATGGTAAAAATAATTTAAAAGCATTAATATGTGTAGTTCCTCTGTGAAATACTCTGATTATAATGGATACTAACATGAAACTTATAACGTATATAAAAAAGTAATTTGAATACAATATTAACAATAAGAGTTCATAGAAATATCGCCTTAATTTCAATGTTTACAGTAATATTCTTAAAATAATTTCTTTTATAGCCAAAACGGATGTTATGGGAAGTGATAACATTTAAATATATAAATAATTACTTCGCATATATATTATTATGCAAAGTGTTAATAAATAAATTTAATTCTATTAAATATTACAAATATCTCATTAAACATACTAATATAAAACTGAAAATTCTATAACAGATTTTTATACACCTTCCAGTAGTGTTTTCAATGTTTAACTAATATTACCTTATTGATATAGCTGTGAAAACTCTTGCAAGGCACCGGGCACGCCTTCTTCATAAGCGCCGTCTTCACCGTGTGATAGGATGCGGCTGATCAAGCTAAACACTTATGATCTGCTCCAAGCAGCGTGAACAGTTCGCGGAATAGTTTAAAACAACAATCTCAAAAGTGTAATAATATTATAAACCGTGCTTGTAGATATATCCAAGAAATAAACGCACGCGAAATTTAAAAACAAACTCTGGCAAATTATTTATTCCTGACTGTGTTAATTACAAGTGACGGAGCATCTACATAGACATAAAGAATTTTAAATTGTAGAAATAAGTAGGTACAAATAAAAATATATAGGAGGTGTCGCCTTTGGTAAGAGCTCGATAAGCCGAACGTTGAACGAGCTCGATAAGACGAATAAAGATATAGTTTAAGGGAGACACGAGTACTCTTGAAAGGGAAAGAGAAGAATTAATTGTTATGAGTAAAATGTTTCAAAGTGCGTGAGTTTTGTGGCATTTCTTGCTGAACATAGCAGTGGACTTGTGAAGGGCTGTAACGATGGTGACGGTGTATGTAAGTATGGTCTTTAAATGAGTAGCATAGCATAAAGGCTAAAATCGGGGGCATACAATTGAATGACACATTAATAAACAACATAATCTATTGATAATGATTTATAAGTTAATAGAGCTAATTTTGAATTCAAAACATTTCTATTATAACAATATAGTATCTGTGACCGACCAATGCTATTTTATTTATTCTAAATGGATATTTGCAAAAGACCTTACGTGTATTATTTTTTTCTTAGGACTCGTAAGGCTATACTTTTGCCATTGTCAAGCGATAACTTTAAAATGATTTGCTTTAAAAAATATCTAAATATATTTAAGGATCGATGTGTCACATTGCTATGTTTTTTGTGAGATTTTGACGGCAGCTTGAGCCAATCTATGATGATAAAATCACCCAAGCAGAAAAAATAACTTGAGGTTTACATCACCATCGGAGTACTTGTTTCAATATTTTCACTAATAGTTACATTTGTACATATTGAATACACAAGATCTCACTACTTTTACATATTAAAATTCACTTCAATCCGTTATTTTTACAATAATAGGAGCAAAAATCTGTCGACGATTCATTTCCCCCTAAAACTTGTGTATTCTTTTAACAACAATATTAGTTGTGTCTATGCGTGTGTGCCCGTATGTGTGCGTGTTTATATTATCGTGTGCACCTGTGTTTGTGTACCGTGTAGTGGCGTTACAAGAATATCCACTACCGCATATCATGGCATGGGTGTCGTATGAGGCGACAGAGGGAAATAAACCAGGAAGTGTGCAGCAGATTCTTCTAATAACTACTCAAAATTAAAAATCTGTTGTTACCCACCCAAATGTCAAGCGTGGAAACTGTGGCAATAGGGGAGGGCTATGTTAATCACTAGACTTTAATAGGTTGTAAGAGTAACGGCAACGGTATGTGTGTGTGTGTGTGTGTGTGTGTGTGTGTGTGTGTGTGTGTGTGTGTGTGTGTGTGTGTGTGTGTGTGCGTGTGTGTGTGTACATGTAACAGGTGTATAAGTGTGCGTATGTCGCGTACTGACGCGCATAGTGCAGCGCCCAGCAGCGCACCGCCTGCAGCGCGGGTGCGAGCACGCTCACCGACCCGAGCAGAGCGTGCAGTGCGCCGTGTGTCGCGTACTGACCTGTGCAGGAAGGCTCGGTCGTGTGGCGCATAGTGCAGCGCCCAGCAGCGCACCGCCAGCAGCGCGGGCGCGTGCGTGCTCACCGAACCGAGCAAATTATGCAGCGCGCCGTGTGTCGCGTATTGACCTGTGCAGGAAGGCATGGTCCTGCGATGCATAGTGCAGCGCCCAGCAGCGCACCGCCTGCAGCACGGGCGCTCCCTCCGACCCGAGCGGAGCGTGCAGCGCGCCATGTGTCGCGTACTGACCTGTGCAGGAAGGCCCGGTCGTGCGGCGCATAGTGCAGCGCCCAGCAGCGCACCGCCTGCAGCGCGGGCATGAGCGTGCTCACCGACCCAAGCAGAGCGTGCAGCGCGCCACGCAGCTCGAGTGTCTTACGCCTGCCCGGGCTCAGAGCACAAGTGCGTGGCGCTGTCGGTCACCGCGTCTCGCGTTGTGCCGCCGCACCCTACACACGTTTTTTATTGTCAATAAAGTTCGTACATACATTTCGTAAAACCTAATTTAATATAAATAAAATTAGAACATCAGCAATGTAATCGAAGTAAAATAAATACGAATTATTAAGGATGAATCAAAATGCATAAAGGACTACATAAAAAGCACCAACTTCCAAATAAAGAAAATAATACCGCTAGATACCGCAGCGAAAAGAAGTATAGCCTGTTTTCAGCTGTACTCTCTACTACTGGAATAATACCAGCACTTCACTAGTACTTCATTGCGTGTTAAACTAGCGGATGGTTCGATTAAAATACGCCAGGTACTAATAACGAATTTACTCGTACAGGTAAATATAAAACCAGGAAAGCAAGTTGCACTCGATTTTGTTGTTTTACCTGACGCTGAAAATAATGAAACTTTGTTAGGAATAGATTTCCTTACAGCTGCAGTTATATGTATAGATTTTGCTGCCTCCGCCTAAAAATTTTCGAACGAACCAAAAATTTATTTACTGGAGTTCGAACCTTTAAGCCATTTTGAGTCTTGTGCCTCTGCAGATTTTCTTCGTGGGAATGAAGCTACAATGCATAACCCTGAAGCCCGTAATAGATTAGGTAACCTGCTGAAAGAGAATTTAGACATCTTTAGTCTAGGGGGAGCATGCACAACATATGCCGAACATTATATTGATACTGGTGATCATCCACATATATCAGCCCCGCCTTACTGGTTGACACCAGCAAAGAAAGAAACTATCTGAAGCAGAATTGGTGAAAATGTTACAAGAAGGAATAATCAAAGAATGGGAATCCGCGTGGTCCTCGCCCGCCGTCTTGATACCTAAAAAAGATAACACTGTTAGGTTCTGTGTGGATTACCGCAAACTTAATAGTATTACTAAAAACGATACTTATGCTCTTCCTTCAATTGACGAGCTACTTCAATGCACCAAACGTCATTGTTTTATCAGCACTATTGACATAAAGTCAGGATATGGCAAGTAAGTGTGGCGCCAAAAGATCGTGACAAATCATGTTTTATTACACCGTTTAGTACCTTTCGTTTTACGCACATGCCTTTTGGCTTAAAAATGAAATGGTCCAGAAACTTTCCAGAGACTGATGGATATATTTCGATCCGGAGGTACTTTAAAGGACACTGTCGTCTTGGCGTACTTAGACGACCTCCTTGTAATTTCGGAAGGAAATCTAGATGTACATATGGAAGATTTACAATTGGTATTTGATCGTCTTCGGCAATTTGGTCTTCGAGCAAATAGTGAGAAATGCTCCTTTGCCTATACAGAGGTGAAATATCTTGATCACTTCTGGACTCCTGAAGGAATTAAGCCTGATGACACCAAGATCAAGCGATACTTACTATGAAGGAACCAACTAATGTCAAACAGCTCAAAACCTTCTTACAGACCTGCGCTTGGTTTCGTAGATTTGTACAAAACTTCTCAGGAATTGCTCAGCCTCTTACTAAGCTCACCAGGAAACATGAACCATGGTCATGGGGTGAAAACCAGTGGGAGGCGTTCGATGAACTGAAGATAAAGCGTAAGACGTAATCTTCACCTATTTTAATACAAGCCGACTACGCTCTTCCATTTTTGGTACGAACTGACGCAATCTATCATGCTCTTAGTGCAGCTCTCATGCAGGTTCAAGGTGAGCATCCTGACGAACGCGTAATAGTTAAGTTAAGGGCAGTTGAAAAGTTTCGACCATGAATTGAAGGTCATCCAGTTACAGTAAAAGTGAGCATCAACCCTTAAAATGGCTCCTGTCTCTTTAATCACCTAGTGGCTGACTCGTCAGATTAGCTTTAAGATTACAACCCTATGATATTCGTTTTGAATACACACCAGGAAAAGCAAATGTCATTTCAGATACACTCAATCATACTCTGTGCATGATGACAGCAATGCTTGTAGTGCCTGTTCAGTGACCATAGATGTTCCTGGGGCAAGCCTAACATAACTACTGCTTCCCAACTGGCTGACCCAGAAATTAAAAAAATAGTCCAGGATCTAGAGAATACAGATATTCTAATTTCTAGTCAATGGCTTGAACGCGGTTATTTAAAGTGCTAGTGTAGGAAAACTCCATTCTTCCGATCTCACTTTGTTCCACAATGACGTAAGAAGTGATGCTGTACCGGTTAGACTAAGACGTCCCCGAGGACGCCCGCGTTATTCTGTAAACGCGGCGCCGCGAACTGTCGATGCCAAGTCACAAACGAGACACATTTGTAACTTGGAGGGGGAGAGTGTAACGCGGCAACATTTTACTCTTTTCTTTCTGCCTGCGCTTGGTCCGTTAGCCAATGAGAACGACGAAAAAAAAACGCCGTCGTCGAGTTGTCCTTCCCGCGCCTAACCACTCTTTGCTCGTAGCTTTAAGGAGAATGATATCTAACAAGTATTAATAGTAACTTTTAATCAGCATGAATAAACTGTGTCATGATATTGTTTATTGTGTGACACGAAAATTTCAAGTTTACGCCGAAGAACCCTACTGAAACGTAAAACACACATTACAATTTTTATTTGAAAAATCATAGAAAAATAATTAAAGTTATTTTATATATCAGAGGGCACAGCAGCGCCCCGCCAAGTCGAGCAAAAAAGCTGCACGGCCGTACCATCCTTTTCGCGAAGCAGTTCAGGCCATTTTCGAAACCCTATAACTTCGTTGTGGATAAAACTAGAAGCTTGAGTTTTCACTAACCAAGTATACATTATATAAATTGAGTATAATTTAAATTTCATTAAATTTGAACCAGTAGTTTAAGAATTATAACTAGTCAAAGTTTCTTCATTTTGTCACTCACTGATTGACCGATCATCAAAACTCTAAGGCACTTCTAGCAAACATAGAAGCTTCAAATTGGAATACAATTACTGTTTAATATATAAATCAATGAAAAATTAAAATATTTTGCAATTTCGGTCCAGTTTTCGAGATACACCAAGTGCATAAATAAATTTGTAATTCCATATAAATATATAGGATTACAAAGTTACATTTGCATTGAATGAATCAGTGTACCTATATATGTATAATATATTGAAATAATAGGTGTAGATAGGTACCTAGATATAACTATCTACAAAAAGAAATGAGATGCCATCAAAAACATAACTTTTAAAAAAACCAAGTCTCGGAACTCAGTTCTTCTACCGTAAAAAGTTGTGAGATCCAAGTAATACCAAGTCGGTTAATTTATTCAGTCCCTACTTAAGGGTTCTTCTGTCTTAAATATTTACGTAATTAGCTAACCTAACAAAATCTTATAGTGACCATTTCAATATGAAAAATCTTTTACGTTTTAAATAAATAAATTGACTTGGCAGTCGCATTAAACAATCTAATATGTATTACTTGAGAGATACATTGTGTTTTCATGCGATGGCCAAGTCAATCTATTTATTTAAAAGATAAAAGATTTTTAGTATGGATGTGGTCACTATAAGATGTTGTTAGGTTAGCTAATTACGTAATAACTTAAGACAGAAGGACCCTTAAGTAGGGACTGAATAAATTAACCGAATTGGTATTACATGGATCTCACAACTTTTTACGGTAGAAGAACTTAGTTGCGAGACTTGGTTTTTTTACAAGTTATGTTTTTGATGACATAAGTTATTTCTAGACGCAATCATTGTTGTCAACTATTTTTCTGCCCTTGTTATTTAGTTACCTTGTACTATGTAAGAGAACACTACCACATATCATCCCAAGAGGCAAACTCGTGTCGTTTATTTAATTTCTGCTTGTATACTTGTAAATAGTGTGGTCAATAAAATGTATTTTGTTATTATAGCGTATGATATGCAGTTGGCAACTTCTATTTGTATATAAGTTACAATTTATTGGAACTAAATTCCTTATTAGGTACGGGTTTGGCGGATGGGAGCTAGACGACAAAAAGTGTAAGATTTTTTCGTCACTACCCCTAGTGTCATAGTGTAGACGGCCTTGGCGGCGAAATAAGGAAGTGAAATGGAATAATATCCATCTCTCTCGCACTTTTTCTTATTTTGCCATGAAAAATATATTATTTTATTTCAAATAACGCTTCATTTTAAGAGACGCTAGTAACTCATTTATTTGTTCTTGTTAATCAATAATATAATACCTACGTTTATCAATAATAATATACTACGCAAGAGACTTCGTTCCAACCGAGTTTTCGACGACACTCACCCATTTTTTAATTCTAAAAATGGTTACAGAGCAGAGTGACAAGGCATCGAGTCCTTTCATGTTCGGTCCGGAGCCTAGGAAACGAAGTCGGATCGCTCGCAAAGCGTCCTGCTACATGTCCTCCCCGAGGTCGGTTCGTGTATTATTTTTATTTAAACAATCTTTCGAATAGAAACTTAGATATAACATGGGTTCATAAGAAATCATTTCCATTCAACTTTTTAGCGAAAGAATATCCGTTCAATTTTTTTAAAAAAATTCGATATATTCGTTCTCATTTCTGTGTAGAGCACAAAAGTAATAGAAATTTTACCAAATTTTGAACAATGAGCTTGAGACGTTCTGTATACATTCTAAGTCGTACTGCCCATTTCCGGGCTATATTCGGCTACCGGTTTTGGCGGCTACATTTAAAGCCAGTTTTCTCTAGAGGAAAGTTGTAACTTTAAAAAGCGGGTGTCGTAAGAGGCGACAGAGGAAAATTACTTTGACAGGTAATGGGCAGCTGCATCTTCCTGACTACTACCCAAAATAATAAAAAATTGCAATTGCCAGCCCGCTTGCAAAGCGTGGCAACTATGGCGAAATCCCCCCTATGAGTCAATCTGTGGGCGAGGCCTACGTTTAGCAGTGGACTTTTATAGGCTGTTATGGATGGATTCCGTGAGAGCGTGGTCCTTCCCCCGTCGAACCAACCCATTCGTGCTACTACTATAGTACTAATATAGCTGCAGCATGGCTCTACCACGTAGGTACTCATAAAAATTGATAATATATATGAAATATTTTTATAACGTTTCATGTAGCACTTTATGAAAACATATATACAGCAACGTTATGAAAATATCAGGCGAGTGACATAGATATTAATTACGAGTTTAGTTCTAATGTACTAATCTAAATCCACGTACCTTAATATTTAACTATCAATAATCCGCGGAATTATTCTTTAGTAACTATTTTCCGGGCTATTAGATATTTAACTATTAATATATATTGAGTTCTCAAGCATGAGCAAAAGTCTGATTTGGGAGTGGTTTGACTTCTTACAGGACTATTTTAAATTATTATATTCGGGCTAACAACTTATTATAACGAGACTACTTAACGGTTCTTGAATGGCAGGTCGCGGTGTTCATTAGTACTAATGGACGTATAAAATTTATAAAATTATCAAGTGTTGTGAATATTAAAGTAAGAAGATATTTTATATGTTTATTTTTTAAATATAAAAAGGAAAGAAAAATATGTTCTGTTTTTTTAAGTCATATTATTCTAAGAGTTAAATAATATAAGCCTAGCAGCATCTATAGTCGTGTATTCTTAGAACATTCACATAATGCATAAGTATGAAAAATAAAAGTGTGTCCAAGCATTAAAAATGCATCAATTTTAAATATTGTACGCCACAATCAATATAATCAATTTAGTTGTATAATGTCGTTACAAATCTTTATATATCTAATTAAACCAGACCAACCAGACGATATTATAAGACCCAGACAGAGCAATACTCGCACTGTACCGCGTAGGAACATTTAATTATGTAGTTAAAATAATATAACAACTTCGTCGTTGCTATATTATTTTGACTAATTGATTGTCATTCTTAGCAATAATGTTTCACTATTTATAAACAAACTGTAACACATATTTTCAATTAACGATTATCTAATTTTCATAAAAGCTAAAACAACCAAAATTTTGTGGAAAACGTCGTTTCATACACAGTTTCGATATTAATTCCATTTGGGACTTGATTATTCAATGACAGAGCGTAAACAAAAAAAAAAACGTATAGTAATAATCTTCAACCTACCTTGAATTACAAAACTTTGCAGAAACACAAGAATTTTCTAAACCTAGGGCCTAGACTGAACGTATAGACTAACCCGTAAAAGCGCTGCAACTAACCTGAAAGACAAAAACCCAGACGGTGCTTTATGCGCAGATGCAGTTTGCATTTCCTATATTCACACGATGTTGCTTCGTCATGCTTCTATCTCCATATATACCATGTTTTCCTAGTACTTCTTATGCGCCAATATGCACTATTTTCAACTGTTAAGTTTGAGAAATAGGTCCAAATTTTTAGATTAGATTTTCTAGATTTTGCACATGCTCTGTAAAAACTTCAATATTGTGTGAAATTTATGCGATTCTGGTAGAAC